TTAGAAGCAATTACTGGTTCTGACTGTTCTAATATGCCATCAAAAGTTATGGTCCGCGATTTACAATTACTAGGCTTCATCAAAGATTTCAAAATTTTCCATAACTCTTTGCTGTTGTTTTGATGCTGATCAATTTTCCTCTGAATATATTCACATCGAGTTTTCTTGATTGATTGTGAATATTTATTACGCGCGACCGTGTACCTATTCCAATGATTATCACTATTAGATCTACAAAACTTTTTGTACCATTTGTCCCTCTTACGTTTAAGACGCAAAAGATCCAAATTGTACCAGCTGTTCGAGTTTTTCAAAGAAACAAACTTTTGTTCAACTAATTTATTGGTACAAGTTTTCAAAACGTTAGTAAGAACAGCTGCATCTTCATCTAAAGTTCCGGTAACTAATTGAAAATCCACGCTTCTCTCAACAAGATTCGAAACAGCTTGCTTCGAATATTTCCTCCAGCACTTCAATTTTACAAAATTATCGTTATCGTTAACACTGTCTAAAACATTAATTACTAAAGTTTCATGATCGGTTATTTTCAAATCAGCTTGAGTAACTGAACTGACAGAATCAAAATTAGAATAAACATGGTCAATCAAAGTTCTACTGTGCCGGGAAATACGCGTACATTCACTTACTAATTGTTTTAAATTAAAGAAATCAGCTAATTGCTTCAGATGGTTCGAATTGCTAGTATCATGCCAATTAATGTTAAAATCACCCGCAAGTAAATGTCCAGACGTAACCGAGAATATGGGTGTATATCTTCACTGTAACAACTACGGGTAATCATCGAAAGTACTTGCATTTTACTCAGGCACTTTTGAGCAAACTGCAATCACTCTCTCATACTCAAAATGTGCCACGACCAAATTGGCACAACGACGCCCTATACGCTCTCTGACCAAAGCGCAGGGATGAAATTTATTATATCGTCATATGCCAAAACACTAAACGAAATGAAAGTAAAATATGCAAGCACAAAGTTACAGTTGTGACAAAATATAGCATTTTCCAAGGTTTAAATAGTAGGGGAGATTTAAGGCGTGTTCAAGATACTTTAAGGGTGGGTCCAAGCTTTGACCTCGAAACCCTCTGAAACTACCCCTCAACTTCTTCTAAAATTTGACTGACTCGAACAGGACTTTCTCTGTACATAGCCTGTAGATCCTCTGAATATGAACGGATAATTATTTTGACTAGCTACTGAGAATTTCAGAGCACCGTGATTTTTCTGAGTGTGCTCTAGTCAGAGGTGGTAACGAGACATTCTTACAAAACAAAATATCGCTTAGTTGAAGATGCTAATTTCAAATAACAGACTGGTGGTAATTTTTTATACGATAGATGAGGAGATGAAAGTATAGAGTTGATAGTTCCGTTAGAGTATGGCAGTATGAAAATTATATATAGAGAGTAGAAAGCGAGCAAGGACAACTTTTTAGGAAGATACAAATCGGTTTGATCATCTCTCTTTACCAAACTCCCCCGTTGGAGAGGGATGGTGAGGGGTATTCCCCCCGCCACCACTGGCAAAAATAGATGATCGCCGACTCGCTCATGTACCGCTCATCAGTTTCGTATTCCTTGTATTAGTTCAAGATATTGGAAATTTTCAACGTGTGACGAGGCTCGGTAGCTTAGTGGAATATTTATTTTATGTTTGTAATAACCTTATGAAAGATTAGAAATCTTCCATTCACAACAATTTTAGGGACTTTACTGAAGGAAATGCCGAGAATTTCAGTGAAACTTCATGAACGAACTGCGGGAAGAGGCGACCCCATACTTTACCTCGCACGCCATCCATACCTCTCACGCCAAAGTCACGAGTTCAAATCTCACCCCCGGACAAGTCACGAATGACCCAAGAGCGTTTAATTAACAACAATATTTTTATTGTAAAAAAAACTGCCGGAACATAAAGGTAAAATCCTGAAAATATGGGAAACTTATAGGAAGCATTAAGAACCTCAAAGTGCTTCTATTAGTTTCTGAAAAACTGCAGGAATTTTTAAGATGTTCTTAGAATTTCAGGGAACTTCACCGGTGTCAAGAGATCTTCAGAAATAATTGAAACTTGAGGAAAATTGCAGAAACTTCAGCGAAGATCTTTGGGGAATTTTAGAGATCTTAAGGGCAGTTCCCCTAACTTTAATGCAGACTTTTGAAGCAGTTTAAAGATCTATATGCGTGACTTAAGACACATTGAGGATAGTTCTATGATGTGCTGAAAATTAAAACGAGAACCCTTAAGATGTTCCGAGAATTTTAAGGAAGTACAGAAACCTTCAGAGAATTTATGAGAAATATTTCAGGAACTTCACAGAAGTCCAGAGAATTTCAGGGAAGCTTAAAGGTGTTTAGGAGGATTCTATTTATTTCAGAGCAGAACCGAGATTTTCGATAGAATTTAGAGCTTCCGGGAAGCTTCGAGAACATCAAGACAGATCAGAGAATCAATGCGCAGTTCAAATGAATTTAAAGAAATTTTAGAAACCTTAAAGAAGTTTCGAGAAGCTCAGGGAAATTTTCGCAAATTTCAGCAGTTCTTCAAGGACGATCAGATTACTTCCGAAAAATCCCATTAATTTAAAGAAATTTGCAGCGACTTTCAAGAAGTAGAACTATGGGATATTCCGAAAATTCTATGATTGATCTGAAAGCTTAAGAAGTGCCAAGGAATTATTAATATAGCAGCCATTACATAAAAAAATGATTTAATCACAATATTCATGCGTTTTGTGGGCGATATGAACTCCGATGAATAAGATTTGAATCAACAAACTAAACACTATTAAAGCTCCCGAACTTGTGAGAAACGTAAAAAACATGGCCAAAATAGGTGCGTTTTCCCTATATCAGAACATTTTCTGGAACATTAAACAAATTTAGAGAACTTCACTGCCGTTATACGCATAACTGTCCCATGTTCTATGCAATCTGTATGCACCGTGGGACTCTTATGCGTATAACGGCAGTTCAGGTAAGTATAGAAAACTTCAAGGATGTTCAGGAAAAAAAAAGTGATTTGAGGCAAACTTATACTTAACTTATAAAAGTTAAGAAAAGTTGTGGAAACTTCAAGGCAATTCAATTAATTTCAGTAAAATTTCGGTTCCTTATAAAACATACTGAGAAATTCAGGGAAGTATAGAGAACTTTAAATAAGTTCAGACATCTTTTGGGCACTTTTAATAATATCAGGAAAGCCTGTACTATTGAAGAACTTATGAACTAGTGTCGATAATTTAAGGGCAGTTCCATGAACTTCAGAAAAATCTTGGGAGCTTCAGCGAAAATCATAGAACTATATTATTTAATTTCGTTTTGATTCCAAGAAAATTGCGGAACACTGATATTTCAGAAAAAACTACGAAAACTTCACAAAAGTGCAGAGATCTTTAGAAACATTTCGAGAACTCCATAGAAGTCTATGAAACAAATGGAAATATCCAAAAACTTCAGGATATTTCAAGAACTTTAGCAAAAACGGTAGTATTTCAGATTAGTAAGCTCCAAAATATACGAGGAATATTGGGGGGAGTTCAGTTCCATTAGTTTCAAAAAATTTGCGGGAAATTTTAAGAATTTCCCAGATATTCAGTGCACTTCACAAACATGCTTAAACTTGTTTAAGATAGTTCAATTAAATTCAGGGCAGTACAACAACTTTCATGAAAACCCGAGGAAGAACCGATAACTAACCAACTAACATATGAATATTTTAATGAGGTACCTTTTTTGTATATTATTCAGTTTTCGAACCGTTTCATTGGAGAGTTATTGGATTGGTATTAGAAGACCTTTTAAATAATAAATTATAAAGAGAGAGAGAGGGAGAGAAAGTTTAGTATTCTTTTTCCTTGATTTGTTTTCCGTGCTACCGACGCTAGGGAGGCAGCTCCCACACCTGGATCCTACCTATCGACCCATCAACTCATGAATCGGGGGCCAACGGCAAGGTTTAGTAATTTTCATTTAATTCCACTACCTTATTTATGTAGTGGAATTGAATGGAAATTAATAACCCTTCTCTCTCTTTCTTTATACAGGTATTCCACTAAGGTTGGAGGCGAACCAGCCTAAGGCTGAAAGCCTCCTAAATAAAGCTAAATAATAATAATAATATTCCACTAAGCGTCTGTTATTCGTCAGTTATTATAATAACTAAATCATTTATTAGTTCGTTATTCATAAAGCATTTTTGAGGTATTATTTTTGGTATTTTACATCTTATGTAAGTCTCGTCAATATCATATATAGTTGGTATTAATAAGTTATTTTCTCCAGCTCGGAAACTGCAAAAACTTTAGTTTTGAAAACTTCAGGTAATAACAGAGAACCTCAGAGCACTTCAGTTATTATTAGAGAAATTACATAAATTTGAAAGCAGTATCGAGAACATAAGCGGATTGTCAAAATTTTAGAGAAGATCCATGATCGCTGGGAAAATTTTAGAAACTTCAGGAAATTCGAAAAAGTTCAGGAAAGTTTTAAAATTTGATGAGAATTATTGTGAGCATCAGTCTAGTTTCTCAAACTTCAAAAGAACTTCAAGGCAGTTTCATTCATTTCAGGAATTTTTTTGGAAATTTTTAAGTAGACCTCAGAATAGTCATTCCATATTCAACGAAGATTTCTCTTGACAATTAACTTTGAATTCTCATCTATATTCGTTTTGTGTTCTCCCGAAACTCTCATGGAATTATCCCCTTGGAACGCTTCTCTAAATTCTATAAGTCACTATGAGGTAACATTTTTCTTCAAAATGATTAATAAAATCACTAATTTTGACAGCATTGATCGTGTGGTCGGTGCTTCTCAAAACGAATGAATTGAACGTCAAATGCGTGTACGATGATTGAGAATGAAAATTTACGTCTATTTGTCTGTCACTACTGTTGAGTATTTCGCACGAGTAAAACGAAATTATTGTCGTAAATTAATACAAATCAACTAATTGTTGTCTTTTTTTTAATCCTTTCCAGGAATGAGTAAGTATACTTCAGGTAAAAACTTCCTTCGTGGAAAACTTGGATCATGATTGCTCATCATCAACGTGGAACGTCGCCGGAGAAGCCCTTCGCAGAACACGATCATATTTCGTAAAACAAAAACAAAACAGGTAAGTGATTCTACGCCTTTCTTCGGAGCTATTCCTGAAAAATTCTTTCAAAAGTTCTCCTTTCTATTTAATTCAGGAAATCACCATCGCATCAAGTCCGGTTGGCAGCAGCGATCTCAGGGAGCAATCCAAACTTTTCCGCAAAATCCACAACCGATTAAGCCCACTTTGTTTCTTCGATCAAAAGAATGACTGGCTTCCGCTTGCACTTGATGCATCTGGTTGAGAGTGAGTACCCTCCCGTGTCAGCGGTTGGAGGGCGCATGAGCAGTGAGCGGATCATACTCGACTTGATTCGCACAGCTGATCGGAAGTTACCACAGTCGCTAATAATGTTTTGTTTTCGTTCCGTCGAGTCTGATCCGATCCGGTGTGATTGTGGAACTCAGACCGTTTCATGTGGGGTTCTTCCAATGAGCAACCATCGTCGCCGTCGTCAGTTCGCATGCAACCGTCGTCCGAAGCGGAAGGTTTTCGGAACTACCGGAACTCGCGCGTCTTTGTATGTGCTATTTGAATTAAAAAAAAAAAGTTTAAAGAGAGCATTTTTGAAAAATTGCTAATTCGCGGTCGAATTACACAAAGTAATTTTTTGGTTTTCGGAGAAAAAGTGTGTAGAGACATTCCCAAGTGTGTCGCAGCCGCAAGGCTCTCTACAGAGGGACGACGACGAACGATGATGGAACAACAATGATGAAGAAGTTCAACCCAACAGTGAGGAAGTGTATTTTTGTGTTGTTTTTCTGGCCATCATCGTTGGAAGAGGGTAGAAAGTGAAGAAAGGATCATTTACATAGGCCCCGGTGAGCGAGTGTGGGTGGGTGTGTATGCGAGCGGCCTCCCATTGCTCCCCCCTCCGAAAGGGTGGTGACAAGGAGGACGATGAAGGATGAGAAGGGGAAACGTGTACATGGGCAATTTTTCGATACCTCTCAGCATGGTTCGGGAAGTGTAGTATTATAGTAGATGATCGATAGAAGTTAGGAAGTACTGCTGGGAGCTGTGCAGGGTGTTAGATGCAGAACTTTGAGGCGGAACTGGTCGCCGTTAGTTGTTGTGTTGCTAAGGGGACGTACGAATATTGAAATCCCTTCAATCTTAATAATTCAATTGGACAGCAGCGAGTCAAGGATCTGGTGGTTTATTATTTATTCGGGAACAACGTGGTGCGAGAGCTGTGTGGCGATTTGCCAATCGCATAATGAGTCCGTTTCTGGGCACCGTCATCGGTGCGGGGCATTGTCCGCAGGAGTTGGTCAAGAAGATGAGGAGGACCCCCCATTAATACCATCATCATCATCATCATTGACGCGCGCTTGTTGTTCGGAGCAATAATGGACGATAGTAGCGCCGGGGACGTGGCAGTAGTGGCGCTCGTCGGTTTGTGCAGAAATTGACCACAACAACTTCGAAAGACAGAGAGAGAGAGCGCGCGCGGTACGGAACGGGGTTTTTCGATGTGAGTGCTAAAAATAGAACAACGAGAAAAGCGGCGTTTTGGCTGACAATAAGAGCCGAGCGAACCGAGTGGATTTTCGTTATGACGTATGTACACAACATATGATTGCAATCAGATATATAGGACGATCTAGGGATGTGACTGGAACCTGTCCGCCAACAGGGAAGAAGTGCGAGTGAGTGGAACCACTTGTTGTTGTGTTTGATTATGACGATGATGGTTGTGGCACTGGTAGTGGTGGTGGTGGGTTAGGATTGCTCCCTGAGTCTTTTGTCGACCCGGACTGGTGCTTGTGGGGGAGAACTCGAGGTGAATACCAGCAGCCAGCGTCAGGATCTTCAATGCACCTTTAATGCGTAAGTGAAAAAAAATACTTTTTATTCTAAATTTAGTTGCGAAGGAAAGCTGATATTAAGAACTAAAATTACCCCGCCGCCGTCATCGGTAGGCGATGAAATGATGGAGTATCCTTTGTTATTTTTGTCTCTGTCTGTGGGTATCGAACGAACGCACCAATTAAAATTCCGTACCGTTGTTCAGTAATTGTCTCCAGAGAGGGATATTGAGGAATGGATTGACGCAACCATATGTGTGTCCTGGTAGCTCAGGAACACGTGCCAAGATTTAATGGATGTATGATGTGAAATTCGGTGTCTGGTGTGTTGGTTTTGGGAGGCGTTGAGTCATGTCGGTTTGGAGGTATTGATTTATGGTGCCAGGGCACAGAAGTTTGATGTTAAAAGACCTAAGGTTGATGACATACTGAGAGCGTTGCGGTACGTGAATCGTAAATTCGAATGTCAAATAAAGTTTTCCTTGTATTACACACTTTACGAGACTAATCATCACAGTTTTTTTTTTATGTGACGGAATGCTTTCATCTCCTCATCTATAATATAAAAAATGACCATTATTTGAAATTAGCATCTTTACCTATGCTTTTCAATGTTTTTCTTGACGAAGTAAAAAACTCGTAATTTGTTCAAATTATTTTTAGAAAATGTTTGGAGAGCTTGCAAATAATGTTTAAAGGGCTTTTTGCATGTCCAATGGATTTCCAACGACAGCAGTACGAATGACATACCACATCTATGAGGAAAGTTATGATGACACTCTGAAAATGTTAAGAGAATTAGTCTCGTGAATAGTTAATCGATTTTCATGTACCTACCTGTAAGCATTCCATGCGGATTTAATTTGTTTTAGTATATCTTTCTCAAACTTGCAGTGGATACTGGGCACCTGAAATGTTTCGGATGTTTGTATTTGTGCAATTTTCCTGGTCCTCACAGTTTTTGGTTTTCCTGTTCCTCACAGTTAGATGGGTGATTTGAAATAGATAGGATCTATTAAAATATTAGAAATCTACTGCAGATTGAAGGTATCAAATCGGTGCATAAATAATCGACATACACTGGCCCCACAATTATGGATCACTTCCATTTCATTAGCATGTTGGACTGACTGATCCATAATTGTGGAGTCAGTGTACAACCATTTCCGTGAAATATGTTCAGAAAACTGACCAGTATGCAGGGTGGTCAGCGAGCCGGGAAAACTGGAAAAACCGGAAAATAATCGGATTTTAAAGCAACATGAAAAACCTGGAAATTCAGCAGGAAAACCGGAAAAAAAATCATTAAACATTAGGGGCTGTTCATTAACTACATATACAGTTTTTTTTTATTATTTTAGACCCCCCCCCCCCCCCGCGTAGACTATCGTCCATACATTTTTTTTAAATTTTGTATGGACCGTGGATAATTGCCAACCCCTTGGTTAACTTTGCAATCTCTATAGTTTGTCGATGCTCAATGTTCTACTTTTTGAATAGGGGAAATTGCCTAAGGATCTAATATTGGGCCCATCGCTAAAAATCTGCTGTTTATCAATTTTATCTAGATGAACGCGTCATTGGGACGGTACTGATGGATATTTTTGGTCCCTATTGAAAATTTAGTCGATTGCTGAATTTATGTATGGGCCCAAATTAGGGGCATTTAGGCCGACATTACCCTATTTTTGTTAATATTAGAACCATGAAAATGTTGTATCTCCCAGATTCTATAAAATTTCTCCATATCTGGGCCTATTCTTGCCTGAGATTTGTTTAAAGTTTGAGTCACTTCATACTATCGTTCTATCTCAATATTATACTTTTCAGAAATGTCTAGGTCCATAATCCTGAACAGTTTTCATAGATGTCTCTGTATCTTGATTTTTTCTTAATCTTGGATCTTCATAACTGATCTTAACAAATTCATAATGTCCGATGTAATCTTGAAAAATTAGTAATGTTTGATTCAACTAAATTATTTCTACTGAGCTACTACAGAACTACTTTGGATTTCTGCTCAGAATCGTCATACAATTTTTCTTTTAACGTTAACAGAAAATTCCCTTCAGAAAATTCTCATTGGAAATCCCTTGAAACTCTCCTAAGAATATTCTTGGAATCTTTTTCGGAAACCTTTGAAGCTATCCTGAGAACTCGATTACTTTTGAAATGATGCATACTGTCCTGTCCGTGTTGACGTAGACTACGTCCTACGAACAGGTACTGGAGATAAATCAATAATCTAAAATTGTGACCGTCACGAAAAGGTGTTATGCTTTGAACGCTTATAACTTTGTCGTTGATAGATGAAAATAAAATCCAAATTTACCAACCGCTAGGAAATAACTCTACAAATCTGCTAAAATAAATGCTTTTCCAATTTTCCATAGATTTTTTTTTTGAAAAATGTACAAATAAAAAGTAATAATTTTATCACTGTCTTCATGAAAAAATAAATACGTTTTCCCTAACCCAGTCATCATAATCGAGTACCACTTAGATGCGTATCGTTCTACTTGAACCTGTAAAGCTATAAAACAGAGCCAATAGGTAGAATTGTTCCCTCTCTCTCCCTCTCTACCGTCGTACAGGAAAACTTCCTCGCAGCGGACGGGCGTGATAAGTTATATCACCTTGACAACCAGCGGTTGCTGTTACTGTTTTTTTCAGAAAAAAAAATTATTTTGGGCCCATGAAAAATTTTATTCTGGACCAGACGAGATTTTTTTTTGGTAACAAAGAAATTTAAACAAGATTTTACACACCAATGTGTATCAGAGAAAATTAAAGGGAGTTTTAGAAAGAACTTTTAAGGATTTTAAACTTTAACGTCAAGTCACTTGTGTGAGTTCAGATTTAGAGTAGAATTTTTAAGTAACTCTGTGGAAAAATACAAGTCGATTGTGAAGAGGATCCCACAGTTCGTGAAAAATACCAAGGGGATCGAAGTTTAAGAGTACAATTCCAAAGAAATTCGTTGAATAATTTTAAGGGAATTCCAAGGGCAGCACGAAACGAATTTCTAGACAATTTTCAGGAAATATCTAAGCAAAATTAAAAAAAAAATCTAAGGTAAATTTCAAACAGGATTCAAGTGAATTTTAAAAAGAATTATGGAAGGAAGCTTTGAAGAAAATCTAATATTATAATATATTAATATTCATATCTGATTGTAATTTAGGAACCAAATTTAATAGACGCATTTTTATGAGGTCCTGAATTTGGCCAAGTTTTACAGAGTATGAAATCCAAAATATGAACATAGGAACGACATAAGTAACCTAACTGTATTTTTAATCAATATCTGGAAAAACGGACGAGAAGTTCATTAACAGCTTAACGTCAACCATGCGGTCGTGTCTTGTACACAACTCCGCAAGCGTTCAATAGAAGCTTCTTAAATGTTCCCTAAAAATATGAACGGGCCAATAAAAAATTGAAATGTGCGAATAAAATTAATGGAATGTTCAATAGAAATCACCGAAGTTGGCGCAACTCCTCAATGCTTGTAGAGTAAATCCATAACAATTAAGCTGACAACACAATGCATTGCAATGGTTTGTCAAAATGGCAAATGTTTAGCAAATTGTGATAAATATATTTGACCGAGGTGTAATGACCAAATATTGATAAGGCAATTATTTGGTTTGTATTTGTCATTCCATTTATTTGCCAATTTGTCAAATGGTGTGATCTTTCAGTTTTTTGGCACCAACACCTAAATATAAATCAAATTAAGGTATTCTTGTATAAAAAAGCGTTGATTAGGCGTCAGTTATTGTAATAACTAAATTATTCGGAGATGAACCATATCGATAATAAAAAACAAGTATTTATTATTTTGGTATTTGTAGATTATTTGTGAGGTATTATTTTTGGTATTTCTAGACTAATATTTGAAAGGGGCGGAAGAGCCAACATATAAACAAACCACATTTTGCCACATATAAAGAGAACAGTTCACAAACTACTCAAAAGTAAAAGAAAACATAATTTCAAATAATCAAAAACGTTTCCATGGCGCATTTCCATTTTTGCACTGTGCAGAATCCTTGCACTGAAAGTATGAATTATATTGTTTTAATATGGTAAACATACTTATCCTGTAGTATCTAATCACGTCTGCCTAGTTTGAAATGCATTCGTTGTATATTTCACGATAAAAAAAAATACCAAGCCTATCTGGGCGTAATTCCACTCTCACAAAATAATTGACAGAAGAGCCTAGGCGAAACCACAAACAAAGCAATACCGAGGGTGTATTTCCACGGCGTATCACCAGTGTTGGCAGTTCAAAGGGTGGTAGATCCGAGGGGTAACAACATGCAAGAGCTTATCAGGGCATACGATGTTTTATTCTCAATTTCAAGGACAAAAAAAAAACACTTTTTTTTTAAGTTTTTAGTGATACATGATGTTATATTAAACTAGGGGAAATGGCTCTAATGTTGGCCTATGAATCTAAGATTGAGCCCATCGCTAACAATCTGCTATTTATAAATTTTATCTAGATTAACTCGATGGATATTTTTGGTCGCTATTGAAAAATTAATCGATTGCTTAATTTATTTATGGGCCCAAATTAGGGACACTTAGGCCGGCATTACATCCATTTACCCTACATTGTACAAACTAGTCCTTGGCTGAAAATCAATTTAATAAATAAAAAAAAATTAATTTAAAAATTAACAAAAAAAAGTTTTATTTTTGTTTATTAATTTATGAATTTATTTGATTGGGAATTTATATTTTATTTTTTTTATTAATTACTTTGTTAATTAATCCATGGGTTAATTAATTATTTTATTTACTTATTTAATAATTAATTTATTATTTAACCAATCTATAAATTTATTAAATTAATAATTTATTAATTTATTAACTGTTAAATTGATTTTGTTTCCAACGTATTTATTTAATAATTAAAAAAAAAGTTTCATTACTATATTTCTTACATATTTTTTTTTATTAAGGTTTTATTTATTTACGTACTTACTTATTATTTTTAAATTATTATTT